ACAGGCTGCCCAGGGGAGTGGTGGAGTCCCCATCCCTGGAGGTATTTAAAAGACGAGTAGATGAGGCACTTAGGGACATGGTTTAGTGGGCATGGTGGTGTTGGGTTGATGGTTGGACTCGATGATCTTAGAGGTCTTTTCCAACCTCAATGATTCTATGATTCTATGATTTAAATTCAGTCAGAAAAACACTTTTATTGGCAATGTGTAACCCACCCCATTCCTCCTTTCCCGTTGCAAAACAAATCTTTTAATTCAGAATTCAGTGTTCAGAATTTTTCTTTGTGACTGTGATGCTCGGCTATTGAACCAGACGGCTCCTTTCCCCTCCCCCGTCTCTCATCACCAGAAAGTTGCTTAGCCATGTGACTCATTGTCACAAGCAGAATAAGCCTCTGCCTCTGTTGTCCTTTCCCTCTTCTCCATCTCCTGTACAGGTGTTCAGTAATAGCTCCCTTGGTAGTTACAGGGAAGATAACACTCCAAAGCTCAATGTTTCAAAAAGGATCTTTCAATTCCAGCCTTACCAGTGCCGTATTACCAATGGTCTGCGTGATAATCCATCAGGATCTTAAGGTCTTAGATGAGTCTTTTTTGAAATGAAGGAGAGATCATTTCCCCACTCGAATCACTTTATGTTGTACAATGAGCAGTTAGCCTTGCCCGATGGGCTCTGTCATGAGGGCTTCTATAGCATTTTATATGGTCACTCAGTAACACCAAAGAAAATGACAGGAAAAGAACATGGGGAAGTGGAGTGCAAGGAGGATAAGTAGCCTGGCACTGTGGCCATCTAGACAGGAGTTATAATTTGTCCATGTCGATGTCCCTGGCACAAGGTGAACTTTTCACTCGTGTGAGAGCTCTCAGCATGAGCTCTTTTCCAGTACATGTTCAGTTGTCTCTACTGTTTCATTCCCTTGGCAGCATATTCATTCATTCTTATGTTCATAAGGGTGTTTCTTGAATTCTCAGGGGCACGTATTAGTATTTCAAAACTGTTTTAGAAATAGTCCTGATTCAAAAAATTCATTAAGCTTTTCTAATGTTGGAAAAGGTTTAGTTCGGGGTTTTTATATACTTCAGTGGTTTCTTCTTTCCCCTATTTATTTTCCATTTTGCTAAAACTGTAGTGAATTACTATAAATAAAATTATTTTCATTATAGTTCTAACTTCTAATCAAGTTTCAGACAATTTCAGCTGCACTAGCAATTATATGAATTAATCATCTGTTTGGTTTCTAGATATGGCAAACAGAACATGGAAAGCATATAGAAACTTGGCAGCGTGTGGCAGAAAATTAAAGTTGACTTTTTGAAGTATTATTGTTCTGTCTTATATAAAATGAGGAAAAATGTGCCCATTATTCCAGGTCAAAGAGAGGCCTGCTTACAGATCAGAGCACAGTTCTACCATGAAACATGAGGCTAGGTCTGAGCACCTCAGAGCCCCCACAAAGCTACTCTGAAAACAGAGCTGTGGAAAGGTCACTGAAGACAGAATTTTGGGTTCAGTGGTTCTGTCCTTATACATGCTTCAAATGTAATCCTTTTACATACACAGTAGGAAGAGGAGCAGCTGTTGCTGGGCTTTGAGGGTATCCACAGAAATAAAGCAGGACAGCTTCCAAATGGGCAATTATTCCCATATGAGAAATCTCCATTAAAAATGAAAAAACACACCCAAAACACCTGTGCATGCATATTTGGAGTTTATTTGGAAAAGTGACATTTAATTTGACTGAATGTAATAGCGAAGACCCTGCCACATCTGAAACGAAGCTTTATATCCAGTGTAATTAGCGGATGTCTGAACCATAACATCCCAGCCCTACAAAGAGTAATTCCCAGGAGTAAAGACAGCACAATGGAATTCCACTGGGTTCACAGAATAGCTCTAGAAGCAGCTACAGACCTCTTAGATAGATTGTCAAATGTATGTAAGATAATGGAAATAATACATATTCAGTAACATTTTCAAAAGCAACAGAGGTTGGAAGTCTGTTACTTATTGTTAGAAAAAAAACTGTAAATATTTGCAATTACAGATTGAATGTATTTGTACATGTATCCTTTATATACAGAATATGAAGTACAGAATGTTTTGGAGTAGTTGCCTTAATGTTATTTTCCTATTCCTTCAGCTTTTTTACCAGGTTAAAGGAGATATGTGTTTGAAGATAATTGAAAATGGGAAACAAAAAGACATTGTCATCCGAGAAGGCGAGGTAAAACAGGGTTGTTTTTCTGTTATTGTTGAGCATAGGTATGTTAAATGAATATTTTATGAAGTATTTAAAAATAATTTTAACCCTGCTGTGCAAGAGATGGCATCAGGATTTAAAAAAAAAAACACAAAAAACAAAAAACTTGGATGCGGTATAGCAAATTCCATGTAATTAACAGCAAACTACAATACACTGCGTTCAACATTTCATGATTTCAGTAACAGATAAAAATCTCTCTGGGCTTTTGGGATACCCATTCAGATGGTCAGGAATATACTGAGAGGAGTTCTTATTCCCCTGCATGGCATGGAATCTGCCATGTGAATTCATAGTGGATCTGTCTTTTATGTACACTTGTCAGGTCATACTGCCTACCCACCCAAACACGCCATTAAGCGGTCTGCCTAGAAGTTAGAAGGTTAAGAGATTCAGCAATTTTCAGCCTTCTTTAGTTGTCACAGCTAGCCTTCGCAACCATCACAATACGAGAACAGTTTTAAAAGAGCAATTTATGGATAAAATGTATCCAGCTGCACTCGGTTGTTTTTCCTTATAGTAGTGGACTTGCTGAAGCATAGATTGCAGTGCTCCTGATGAGCACTGCGTGACTTGATGAGAGCGTGACTAGACATTTTACTTGGTGTTACTACAAGTTATTAGATGTGCTACAACTGCCAGTCATTATTATTGTCACAAGCTTGAACTGCACTCAGTCTTTGAAAGGATTATTAGATCTACTGGGGCCAGCCTTTAAAGTGGAAGACATAAATTAGACCCAATAGCTTGATGTCATTAGAAGCATTATGACATTTTCAACGAAGAAACAGATCTACGTTTTCGAACCTATAGACGGTGAGATTCTGGTAATACACTTCACGCTGGAGAAGCACATCCAGCTGAGATCTTGGCATGTACCACAAGCATTAATGAAAAGGCGCCCGCAATATCCTTAGTGGGAAGACTGACACTAGTCCTGGTGAGGCACTATCATCAGCTCTGCTTTGCAGGCAGAGAAATTGTAATGACTTGCCCAAACCTGGCTAAGAAATCTGTAGCGCTGAAGAACAGTACAGGCTTACCACCTTCCTACATAGTCAGATAGCTGCTAGAAAAAGGTTTATTCTCAAACTTCAGTAATAGACTTCTCCCAACCAATGTTGCCTATTCACTTTGTCGCTTGCATAAGTAAGTAGCCCCTCATATTTGTTAATTATTTTTGGAGAGAATAACACTCCCCGTCATGCAATCACAGGTGCTCGCTGTGTTGGAGGGATACATGTGGTTGATTAGTTTAGACATTTTCTTGAGCTGACAACAAACTTGCTTTTTATTTCCATTTCTGCTACTCAGAAATTGCAGTAAATTTATAAATTCCAGATGAGTAACTGGTTAGATTTTAATTTCAATTGTGTCTAGCAGTGATGATCAGACTGGGAGGAGAGCACTCGACTGCAATAAAGGCAGTGCTGATTGCGGAGTTAACGGTCAGCATTCACCGAGAAAACAAGAAGCACTATCTGCTGGGCTGTTGGTACCAAAGCGGGTGTCGCTGCAAAGGAGCAACACAGGATCAACAAAGAGTAGGGGAAAAGTGGGGCAAGGAGCGGAGGATTTTGCAGGTTGTGGGGCAGGGGAAGGACAACACAAAGAACAAAGATTTCCTGACACTGATGCTTTCCCATTTCTTTGAACAGATGTTCCTCCTACCTGCTAGGATACCTCATTCTCCTCAGAGATATGCAAACACTGTGGGTCTTGTGATTGAGAGAGAAAGATTAAAGACAGAAATTGATGGGCTCAGGTGAAGTATAAACTGTTGGCTAATCTGTTAGGACTTGTAATATAAACTAATTTCTCATGTCAATACAATACTGTATTTTACTTTCCTGATAATTTATCAGATTCACCCTGGCAATTTTGTACTAATTTTATCCACACATCTATTTATCTATACACACATAAACAGAGATCTCATTTAGCATTTGATTTAGTTAAACAAGGAACATGTTGAAATGTCTTAAATGCATGTTGTGGTTATAGCTATCTACTTATGTATTGCCTACTACTATCGCCTTAAGTTTTAAAATCTCAGAGCTCTGTAACAACACAAATAAAAAAAAGATTTTTTTATCAGTTCTGGCAAGCAGAACATTAATTCCTTTGTAAGCACTGAAAGCAGAAAGATAAAGAGCAGCTTTCACGGCAAGTGCGTGGGAAGCTGGAAACAAAAGTCAATTTTCTTAACACTAACCCCTCTACATTGTACACACCTCTGCCTACCTTTTATTGCATTAAGAAAACAACATCTTCAAAGAAATGAGAGGCTTACTTTGTATTCTAGTGGGAGCAGGACTAAGCCTTGTCCTGTGGTCATACAGAATTCATAAGTCTAAGAAGGCAAGTCACAGCAGTAACATTAGCCGAGTTAGAAAAGCTGTTTTGACATTAACCAGGTACGACTGACCAAAGAGAGCATACCGCTAGTCATGTAATTTATAAAGATTTAAAACTGCCATAATATCTGTAATGTACTGTTTCTGTCCTGTTGCCTACAGTTTTGATTGTTGCATGGGCGGTGTCACAATAGGAAGATTGCGAATATGTGGAGCTAGAAAGATATACTTTTTCATTCAAACAAAAAAGGCTAAAGAAAGAAATAAGAAACTAAGAAAGGGACCATTCAAAAAACCACCTGATTGGATTCCAAGCTAAAGACAAATCCAGTTCATTTAAAACATTGTTCATCTATGCACTTGTCCCTTTTTTCCCTTTCATTGCAGGTCTGTGGATCGTGAGCACTTACGGTATTAAAAAGATATTTTGAGCTAGAAACAATTGGCCCGTGATTCAGATAACAATGTTTATTTGTAATAAAGGACCATAAATAGCTCTAGGTAACTTTAAGTAAGATAACCTACCTAGTACATGAAGTCTGTGAATGGTATGAGTTAGAGAGATGCTGAATGCCTTTTTAGGGATGCCAGGTAGATCTAGAGATTTGCACTCCAATATAGTCATGCTCTTGTGGAGAAATTAAACTAAAAGCTACCATATGGTTTGCAGGTGGAAAGAAAATAATTTGATTAACAAAGCACACTCTTAATTGAAAATACCTAATAAGATGCCTGAAAATAAATCACTTAGAGGTTTTTTGTGCCCTTGTTTTCACACTGACATGATAAACAAAGACACCTGAAGTTTTGGAAGTGAACAATCATGTCATACTTTTTAACCTACATTGTCTCTCTGTGTGCTCCTGGGAGAGATGGGATTTACAATCAGAACCTCTAATCTTCTCAAACTTTTTTCACTCCCAGCCACGTGCAGCAAAGACTGTACAAGAGGAATTCATAATAAACTTTGAAGTATGCTGACTCAAGGTCTAATATTACGTTACTGTTCCATTATTTATCATGCCTACAAGCCTCAGTCATAAATCAGAGCCCCCAGCATGCCAATTATTGTACAAGTGAAGAAGTAGCCTGCCCCAGTGTTTCAGCCTAAGTAATGATTACATGCTTTGTACTATAAGAAAAATGCACTAGATAATCTTAATCCTATGGCAAACAAGTACAGAAACAACTAAATTTTATGTTAGTTGTGTGGTTGGATTCTTTGACACCCAGTAAGGTGCAAAGTCCTTCCCAGGTGCAAAGCCTTTTCCCAGCTGAGAGATTTGTAACATCTCTCTTCTCTGTAGATTCTCTGTGTTCAAAATTTGTGCTCGTAGCACAGCTTTTTCCATACTGGAGGCAGTAATAACATTACTCTCTTCCGAGTACCCTGTTTTTGCAAAATTTAAGGAGCCGGGGAGCTCTTACAAACTTTCTGGACAATATGTATATAGATACATAAGACAGACGTGTATACACAAATATGCACAGTATAATTATATAAGCCTTGTTTCTCTCTTCAAACACACATTCCAGTGACTTTAACCAAAGGACACACAGGACCTATTTACAATCAGTCGCAATATGAGTGACTGTACTGGAGCATCACTCATTTGCCAGTCCATGCAGTCTTTTTTAAATCCGTAGGTAAATTCTGTATTTGCCATTCCATAGGTTACAGCAACCTTGACCTGTTGATCCCAGCACAATTTGTTTATTTATGAAGACATAAAATAATGCAAGTGAAGCACTAAGTTCCTCTTCAGAGGGGTGAGCTAAACAACACTTCCCAAATTTACGCAGCTGACAACCATCTATTTTTTGCAAACAAGTCCGTGAGCCACCTTGTTTTCTTATCAGTCCGTGCATGGGCAATAAGCAAGCTGCCACCCTTAAATATGAGCATTTATCTCATAGCTGCATGGAAGCAGTTACTGGAAATGGTATTTGGGGCCAGTTATTTTTGCAGTAACTACATCCAAAGTGAGAATTTTTGGTCCCAAGGGACTATGGCACCAATCATTTCCAGGATTAAATCTGGAAAGTTTGCTAAAGGAATTTGGTGACTTATCTGTGGTTGTTCAGCAGAACTACAAGGCCCTCCATAGAAGTTTGAGCACCCCACCCACCAAGTCAGCTAACCAGGGAAACAGAAAGCTTCCCTAAATAACCATTCTTCAGAATAAAGTACACCAGGCTTGAGAATAACACGCTCTTACACAACAGCAAGCAGCTATTTTCTTGAAAAGACTGAAACTGACTGATCAGTTAATTAATGAAAGGATTGACTAATGTTTTTACTTTGTCAGATACTATGTTGGAGAATCAACTAATGTCCTCTTTGAAAAATGGTTTCACTGCGAAGATCTCGGCACTCAGCTTATACCAATAATCCAAGAGTAAGCTTTTTTCTGTGTAAATTTTAAAAGAACGGTTAAAATGATCTAATAGATCTTCATCAGTCTGTGACTGACTTAGTTAATTTTCTATTTATGCTGCATTTTACATAGACTTGTTAAAAGTTAATTGCTGCTCTACAAATTTTTAATCATATCTTGTATACCCCAAACTCATTAAATCAGATTTAGAAAAATATGAAAATCAAGTGTTCCTCAGATCTATCTGGAACATACTTTTTGAACAAGTAAAAGCACACTGCTGCAAAGTGCAAAAAGGATCGAATGAAAAATTAACACTGAATTGATGCTAGGTTAACTAGGTAAAACACTAAATTGCCTTAGGGCTTCTTTCACTTTTGCTTTAATCTAAGTACTTTTAATCGATATTACTCATGAACAATCAGGACTGGCAATTTTGGTAGAGAGCTGCTTTCTAGGAAATGTGTAAATGTCATCAATTAATTAATCAATTTGTTAAACGGTTGCTAAAGGTGAACAAGGAAATTGTTTAGCGACATGAATTTTGGAGGACTTTCAGACAAACCCTCTGTCAATAAAATAGGTATAGCCCTGTTGAATACATGTGATCGTAGCTGAGGATCTGGCACATCCATTCTCAGCACAAAGCTTAATGGCCAGTATTACTGCCTAGTCTTTGTTAACCTGGAGAACATGAACACAACTTTTTACTGGTGTTTAAATGTTTATTATTCCAGGTTTTTCAATTCAAGACAATATCAAACTGGAAAACCAAATCCAGGTAATGCAAATTAATTTCAGAATTAGAACAATTACTGTATCTGATTGAACAGCAATGATTCTCTCCACATAAAATGACTAAGTTTCTGGTTTTCCTTCTGATTATGTAAATTAAAGTTACTTTGGGAAGTAATTCCTTTCATTACCCCAACCACAAATAAAATCCATACACGTGATTACCCACAGCATCTTGGTTTTCATGTGATGCCATCATAATGACCTATCAGGTAATTGTACAGTGTGAAATCTCAATAACTCTATCCTTGCATGCCATTCAAGTCTTATACTAACAAAATTTCATTTCTGACTGTGCGGAATGAGATTTTTGTGAGTTGAATCTACACACTCCATACCTACTTGTACTCCTTTACCTGTAACTATACACTGTGATCTACTCTTGGGAAATAAGGACACCTAGAGAAAGACAGATACCTTTAGTTCATGTATCTGATCCATTTAACATTTTATTTCCATGCTGTCTTACCCTATTTTTTATTTTGCCTCTGTTTGTGCATAGTGATTGCAACTTCCACACTGGAGCAGATACTGCAATCGTAACTCCATTCTTGAGTCTGTTGGACAGAGACATAGGACATAGAGAGAGTGACTGTTAAAAACTAATTTATTAGTATCTTTAGGAATCGGATCTCTCAGACGTGATGGTTGCTTTCTGTATGGCAACCGAAGTCTCTATTGCAAGGGTACTTGCGACACTACCTTCAGTGGGAAATTTGTTTTGCTGAAATCTTCCAATCCTGTTGGCCCACAGCTCTACATGAACACCCAGCATGTGCATGATCCATTGCTATTGATTAATGTAAACTATGTGCAAAATACCACCCACCTGTCTTAACTATGTACAAAAGACCGCACTATGTGACCATTTCTGCACCTGCAGGAACAGTTTCTATGGACTATTTGCAAGTGTTTTAGTTAGGTGCAACCTGGTCAGTTCTGCTGCAGGAACTACCTGGAGAGTCTCCATGACATCGTCAGGTTCTTAATCGACACATGAAAAGTACAAATCAGCATAAGCACAGCAGGAGCTGCCTGTGGGATCTCCAGGACAGCCTGAGATTCCCACCTGGAGAGTTCCTGCACCAGTTAGCCAAATGCTGTTGTGAAGGCCACCAGTTCAGTCAATCCCATTGCTGAACTAGGTTTGTTGTTTCCAATCAGTCTGTTGTCTCATCTATGCAGGTGACAGACTGGGGGACGTCCTGCACCAACCAGGAAATTCATGGCTCAGGCACACTGCATGTGCACACATGCACAGCCGTAATACCCAGCTATGCTACTCTTACAACTACATGACAAACTTGAATGTCATCCTTCAGTCACACCCATAACAAATTCCATAGCTCTTAGAATCATAGAATCATAGAGGTTGGAAAAGACCTCTAAGATCATTGAGTCCAACCATCAACCCAACACCACCATGCCCACTAAACCATGTCCCTAAGTGCCTCATCATAGAATCATAGAAACTCTTGCCACAAGTTAAAGATAAATTTTAGTTCCCGTCTCTAAGAAGTTTTTGGAACCAGTTGTCCTTAATCTCCATCTTCATTCCCGAATGTCTTAAGTAAGATGATTTTTATGAATGACTCTATTAGAGACCAAAGTTCAAGTGAAACATTATTTCCACATCTATCCCATTTCTCAGCTTGATAGTCACCATAAAAATGTCACTGCCTGCTGTCTCAATCAACAATGGAACAAAGTTCTTACTCAGATCCTAAAATCAGGGAAAGATGTTATTTGCATGAACATCACCTTTCTTAAAACAGTTGACTAAATCATCATCACCAAAATGAAAGGTTCACAGAAGAGTCTATGGGATAGCAACCTTACAAGCCCTTGCAATTAGGAAATGGTAAGCCAGTCAGAAACCCTGCCTGAAAGACTTTGCAGCTGAACGACCTTTTGGCATTGGCTCTTTGACTGACTAGGAAATGTACTTCTCAGAAAAAGCCTGTGCTTCTCACAGACAAAATGTTGTCGTCTCCAAGATCTTACTTTTCTTTATATGCACCATCAAAATGTATTTATTTTAATTTGAGTGTGTCACTTGTGTGACATGTTTGGGTGTTGGTGGTTTGTTTTTTGTTGTTTGGGTTGGGTTTTTTTTGCGGGGGGGTAGGCAGGGCAGGTACTGTCTCTCACTGTGTATTCATACAGCATCTAGCAGAGGAAATACAATTTCAGATGAAGCCTCTAGGTGCTGCTGTAATAAAAAAAAATCATCTCACACATATTATCCTTGTTCAATACAGTGATTTCCAATAAGCATCCCTACCAGTCTGAGCTAAAAGCTTATATGTCAGTAACAAAATAATTATATCAGTGCAGAAAAAAAGAACATTAAAGATTGATATTGTTAATATTTTTGCAGAAGATTAGAGCTAAAGACCAAACCTGACAATCGATCAGAAGCTATGATACATCTTGACACTTTTTTTTAAACACAGAACTCTGAGAAATTGTTATTGATAAATCCAGTACAGAAGCTCTTTCCTTGTAATTTATTCAAGAGCTGTAAAAAGGCCAAAAGGCATGAGAGGCTTCCATTAAAGCTGAAAAAAGTTTTTTTCAAGATAAAAAAAAATAAGTAAACGTAGTTATTTTGCTCAGAGCTCAATACCTCTTTTTCCCCTGAATGGATTCTCCTCTTGGATTAGCCACTAAGTCAAGACAACAAATATTTGAAATGTTCTTGGCTTAACTCTTGCTGTAAGCAAAAAGCAGTCAACAAAGTTACATGGCAGGCTTTCAGCCTGGGGAACAGGCTCCACTTTTCCAGTTTTCAGTTCTCATGGACAGTAAGAAGCTCAAAGTCTCAGTGATGTCTTATACATGAGGAAAATACCCCAGATTTTTAGTTACAGAAGTTTTAGCTAGTTTTAGTGAGACTTGTGTTAAAATAAAATAAAGAAATCAAACAAAGTTTGACTGAGATGTGAGTAAGCTGGTAATATGTTCCTTCTGGAGGCATACCCAATATGTTCCTTCTGGAGGCATACCCAACTGATAGAGAAATAACGCTTTGGATTATTGCCTCAGCAGCTCTCTTCTTTTTCTTAAGAAGTAGAATTCAACAACCAGCATGACACTTGCAACATACCACAAGCTACCACCAGTTTCTCATGATGTCTGACTCGAGACGTATTTTACCAAGATTTGAGCTGGCCTATGCAGAGGGCTGGGTTTCAGCCTCTTTCAGTTTCTTTTCTGAAAATCCAGAATCCCCTCAGTTTAAAAGTGCCAGCTGAAGCGCTCTCAGGTTCATCTCTACATAAGCCTGAACTAGTGCCTCCCCTTTTTAGAGAGAAATGGAATAAAATTGAAGAAAAACATGTTGAAAGAAACACTTGATTGCAGCTCACTCATAGAGGAAAGCTATAAATGGAATCAATCAAGCTCCAATTGCTTTAAAAAAAGCACCACACCAAAAAAAAAACCCCTAAGTCCAGACTTTTTCTTGATTTATTTATGGTTTCTGGCTCAGCCAACATTAGGGCCAGTCCCTCTGAAAGCAGGGTACTCAGAATATATGAAGAGACAGCAGTAGCTATTAAAAAGATACATTTTTAGAAGAAGGACTCAAGTACCATCAAGTGAAATACAACCAGAAACATGTATCGCATGCAATCCTTACTTGAGGCATCTTCCCTGGAACTGTTTTGTACTGAATTACTAGCCTCTTTTGTTACCACATGTAGAAATAAAGCCTGAGACAACTCTCCCCTCCTTTTATCAATAAGGGTGAATATGTTTATTACACAAATTTTGACATGAGGAATCATAGTTATCAAAACAACTCTTGCTGCTTTCAGTTGAATCAGACTGGAAGCAAGATTCTCTCAAGGTTTCTATTTCATCCCAATTTTATAGTCAAGTGGACAAGAGACAGTTCAGACAGACAAACCCCAGTTCTAATAAATGGTGATGACTGACTATTGTTTGCAAAAGTATCCAGAAGTTCAAAAGTTTTTCTGCCCATGCTCACTGAAATAATGCAGGCTTCTTTTATGTGAAATTTGATGGGAAAAAGTACAAGAAAAGACTTTTCCTAAGTTAGACTTGTTTAAAAATGATCTGTACACATTAATGGTGTAGGTAGAATGTCAGGGTTTTGTTTATCCAAATTAATTAATCTACTTATAATTATCAGTGAAATTTTAATTCCCATAAAAGCTTTATTGTCAGTGGACATGCAGATATATAATACAAAACCCTTTGTTATAATGAAATATCCTATTCCTCCTCTATGGAAGCAGAAGTTATGCACAGAGACAATTAATGAAATGCCCACAGTCATATAAAAGGCAGATTCAGAAACAAAAGTTAAGATTCCTGATATTAGGATTGGAACAGTGGTCAGTATTTCTGAATACAATTTATCATTCTTAACAATGACCGAGATATATCATGAAGAGCCTTTAAATGGAATTATGGCCTAAATCATGCAATTTTGTTGCTCTAATTTATTCCCTTCCTTCTGGCTGGTGATACCTCCTTTTGAAGAGGCTATATTTCTTTATTAAAAAAGTATTTTTCAAAGCTTTCCTCATCAAACTTCTTTGTTTCAATTAGGAAAAAAAAAAATTGTTGTTTAGTTTCCAGAGTAGATTTAATGACACAAAGAAAAATGTGCCTAGAAATAATTACAGGGACAAGTCATAAATTAGCAGACATGCCAATTCTCAGGGCATGCTACAAAAACACAGTAACACAGGGAAATGTATGATTACACCAAGTGAGTGCTGTATTTTCAGCTAAATGTTTCTGCATCTATAGTCAACGAGTGAAATGAACCAACTACCCCCAAAGTAATCAGTCACCGTCAGTGCTTTCACTCTGGATTTTTATATGGAATGAGCTAACTACTTGTTTTTTCAAACCCAGATGACTGAAATTACATCCCTCAGTCCACAGGTTTTATTTGCAGAGGTATTAAACTCCTACTGGCCTCATTGACATTTCTGTTAACATTGAGAATAAAGCAGAATTTTCACAGGAGTTAGGTAAGCACATATAGGAAAAACATCCCAGCGTATATATTATTGCTGGCATTGGCAGTTAAACGTGAAATGCTGCAAAACTGTCACATCAGAACTATTCATTATGATATAGTATTCTTTAAGAGATGGAAGGGATGATTAGAAAGTGGACAGAAATAAATGAATACATAATTCTAAAATAACTTGTGAGCTCCTTATCCCTAGTCTGGACCGTTTTACGCTCAGTTGAAGGGTAACAAAACAAAGAGGATCTAACTGCTCCACTTTGGATAAGGATGTCTTCTGCTTTTACAGAGGGAGACACCATTTGTAAGGGACTTCCTCACGTCCTTGCGTGGAGATGGGGCCACAGCATGCAGGGACAGGCTGTTTCTGAGGCAGCACAGTGACTTAGGGTGGAGGGGCTTTCATAATTAGTAAGAATGTAGAAGTGATTTAAAGATTTGAAGATTGTTCCATCTAGAATATGCTGCCTAGAAGTGAAGGATGGTATGAAAAATATAGTTTTTCATAAAGCCAACATGTAATCAGTTTGATAGTTGACACTATTTCAATATATTGTATTTCATGTGCTTTATCGCTCTTTTCCTTTGCAACAAATCTCGAAGAAACAAGGTTTGCAAGACAGCTATGGGAAGAGCTTGGGGACAGTAAGACTGAAGAAACACTCTGAGAGAATGAGATGGTCTGATTTCTTGACAAGAAAGCTTAGGCACGTCGCTGGGGTAGGGAAGGGGGAGCTTCCATGTAACATGCGAGTTTGGGGTAAGCAAATACACCCGCATATACCTGGTAGGCCAGTGGCAGTCCTCTTTTACCTGTCCTCTTTACTGCTGTCAGTGGTACAGTACTAACAGCAAGTTCAAACCCTTCCTTAGATGGTCTCTGTTGAGGCTGTAACTACCTGTACGTTCACTGGCTGTTTTCCTGCAAGCTGTTCTCTCCATTTTTGCACAGCTTCATATTCTCAGTCTCAGTACAGTCTCTATTGTTTAACTGAAATCAACTTCCTCTAAAACCTGGAATTTCCTTTCTTAAATATTTACAAACTCGTTCAGTAAACATGATGTATTTTTCAGCTTAACATGATATCATCACATTCTAATTTAAAGCTGAAAAGAGCTATAAAACCCAATAAAGAACACATTGCTGTGATACAAATATTTAACAGTAATGATCTACAAAAATGGACTTTACTATTGAACTATTTAAATGGATCTCGTGGACATGTAAGAATATATTAGATTTGATGTTCCACTTAGTGATATATTACACGGAGACTCATACACGACTAGCTTTGAATTGCCATCTTCTTGCATTTTGCTGGCATAGTTTTACCATCATTAAACATGTTGTCTCCTTGTCTCACAGTATTACTAGAACGTAAGAACTCTGGAAACACACCAACTCACACTTCCTGAGATATTGTTGAAAGCTAATATACAGGCTAAGCAGAAATATATGCAACAATATCTAAATATAAGCCATTGCCTGATAAGAAACACTCAGTTCCTTTGGAAGCACCAGGCTTCAACTCTGATATGTGTGGGATCGCGAAATATTGGATCCTCCTCATCATAGCTCGTTAGCTCAAGTTCAGAAGCACTAGGGCACCTGCAGCTTTCAGCATCATGCAGGGGGTGAGGATCAGAGTTAAATGAGGACTCAGTCAAGTAGGCTATTAATAATGTCAGACATATGTCATGTACTTCGTCATCACAGTGCTCTCTTACTTGTTCTGCAGTAACAGGTAATCAAATGATCGTGCTGGGTCACACTAAAGGTTCATTTCGTGCAGACTCAGTTTTCAAAGGCTGTTATGCTATCACAACAGCTGGAGTCAGAGATCACTAGAAAGAGGAAAACTAGCAAAATTACGTGTATGGGGAATAAGTGACAGAAGTTAAGCTACAAACTTAGAAGTTTATAGTTACTTTTCGTTGTTAGATGTGTGTTGCTTCTTGGTCAGAACACAAACAAGTACTTTGGCTTTTTTGTACCCCAAATTCCTTGCAACTCATGGGGAGCATTCATAGTTCTGCTTGCTTAAAACATCACAGTACCCACCCTAGAGACTCAGCTTTTTGCTGTCCATTCTCCAGCATATGAAGTCTGAACTTACTTGTTAGCTTGATGCTGGAATTCTTAACCTGTGGAGAAGATGTATCCCCTTGAGCTGAGCAGGATACCCATGGCTTCTCGGTGTGCGTCTCTTACCCTACCGGGTGCTATCTACTGGTTTTTGGGGGGTTTTTTGGTTGGTTGGTTGGTTGGTTGGTTTGTTGTTTGTTTTTTAAAAAACTATCTCAACTAGGACATGCATTTTAGTAGAAAGTCCTACCAATGGGTAACTTTCTTGTATTCCAAAAGGCTTTTCTAAATTCAAGAGTGACCTGCTTTATTCTGATAACAGAAAAAATCTCTATCATCTTCATATTACTTTAGAAGGTAAAGATTGCTACTATTAATGAAACAAAATATTTAAAAATCTATTGGAATACTAATTGCACTGAGTACCTTCCGATAAAATGTCTGTCTTCTCCTCTGCTGTGTGTGAATATATATCATAATATTTTAGACCTTTATTTTGTATCTTGCCCTAATAAAAAAACAACTTTCCAATGCAGCTATAGTTGAGCGTATCCATAATTTAAGGACAAAGCATATAAGTATTCCTAATGACGTCCAAAGCAAGTTTGGTGAACCCATGAAAATTAAGAAAAAAGAAAAATCAGACATATTGCAGTGTGAAAACAAATCGCCAATGACCTTAACACTACTTTTTAGTGTTATCAAACAATAAAATATAGAATGTTCAGACTAGGTCTCGTTAATGTTTCCAGGCCCAGATTAGAATAAATCTAATGTAAAGATTTTCTTTTTCCTTCTGGTGCTTCTTAATTTCTCTGGAGGAGTTTGCTTTTCAATAAAAGCGTGTTAAGTATTTGAGTTAAATAATGTAAAAGTAGGATGCTTTTTTTAAAAAAAAGCTTGAAGGCAAAAAGCTTTCAAACAAAAAATTCCTTCTTTTGCTGCAGATTTCTTCAGATTGCTTTCAGTATTTCCTGAAAGAGGCATTGCTGAGACAAATCATTTGCAGAAACACGTTGACTTCTTCCATTTAATTTAATATAATGCAGAAGAAATTTGAATGGCAAAACCTGACTCTAAAATAAAAGGGTTAGCATCCCATCCAGATTGTCTGGAGATGGATGTAGATACTTGGTGCTTATTATGATCCGTTAAACAGCAGTAGCTTATTCAGTACACTGCTATCCCTTGGATGCACTGACCTTCTCACATATTGTTCAAAGACTGCATACAAAACGGCCTTCCATGAAAACCTGAAATGATACATTCAAAACACTGCAGAGCAGTGAGATACAGCTTTAGAAAAGAACCAGAAAAACATTGCATAATGAATACACTAATGCTTTAAAAAGACCTACTTTATTACTAGTACCGAGACTTAAGATTTGGCTGCGAGTTTATTACCTCAATGCGTTTGCAAGACAGCCATCTAGTGAGTTTTTCCTGCGTCTAGTTGGCATTATTACTTGAAATTACTCTATGGGTGTTCCCCCATGGCATCTCAGAATGAACTACTTAGGATCACCAAGGTGATTGCGCTGTCTCTGCACTTCACTGTGAGCTGGTAAATAACTAAAGCTAATTTCATATACCAACAGCATACAGCACAAATCTTGAATTTCACCAGCTACACTGAAACTGCATTCGGTCCTCCAGCTATTTTAAATCAAATCAGTTACGAAGGAGAATTACTGGAAATTAAATCCAGCTACAACTCCAGGAGCACCACAAAAAGGCATTTTATTAAATTTAGGGTTATGATAACCAGTTTGCTCCACTGTGGTCAGTGCCTTTAAAAACACATAGGGGAGAAGAAACATAAAAACCAGTATTAACTAGGTGAAAGATGTAAAGTAAGCTGGTTCTATGGGCCTAATTGCACTTATATGGGGATATGTAAGGGATGACTCAGCAAAGGCTCAGAGATGATGCATCGGATTTTATCAAGCTGGTCTGAAAGAGAATGAAGAATATACCAGCAAGAACTAGGTAGTCCATTGCATACTGTTTGAATGCATTTTTAACAAGCATGGATGCACAATAGTTCTGACAACAGCTTCAAAGAATATATGTATGCGTCTTACAACGTCAAGTAAGAAGTCCTGATAATGACCATAGCACTGTTTGCTGTTACAATTGACTTTTGTCTAGATAATAGTAAATAGTAAATTGAACCCTTCCAGCTGTAAACAACAGTAAAATGTTTGCAAAGATCAAGGGAAGCAAGCATCACTGATAGCCCTCTGCCTTGCTTACAGATGAACTCCTGAAAGAAACACCTTTCCCACTGAATTCCACTTCTGTTATGGAGCCGTTTTACTTCCAAGGCTGGTTAAATGTTCATCGTGGCGAAATAAAACAGAAGAAATCCTTGAGTATGTTTGGAGATAACTTTGAAACAGAGGTAGGGGAGTCTAATTTTTCTGAAAGAGAGGAATATTTTTAAGGCTACAGATAGTAAGTGCCTACTGTTCAGACTGAGTGAATCCAGGCCTGGGAACAATATGTAGCCAGCAAAGTTACGCACCCCTACAGAACAACTCAGTCTTAGCCTGCCCTGCCCGTCGGCAATGCCTGTCTTCGTCCATTGATTTGACTAGCTTAGGGCAGGGGCTTCCTAGCTCAGATACTTCCATTCACAGGATCAACCTGAACCTTACTTCCATTCATTTCCTTTGGGATTAAAACAGCTCGCTCTCTCCACCCCCCTACCCCCCCGTATTTCCCAAATCAGAAACACCAGTGTGATGCAAATGCTACTGACAAGTGTGTGTGTTTGGCTTTCCTATATGTTTGAACAGCATTCTTGGTGCCAAGTCTAATCTGGGTGTGTAAATACACTTTTTTCCTTTCCCCTCAATCTCCATAAAGTGGAAACAAGGAAAACTGGACAGCACCAGAGAGGCTGGGCTGTGCTAAAGCATTGCACTTCTCAGTTTAGTCAAACACAGTCTAGCTTCGGTGTAAATGAAGCTGTCACCATTTGATATCTGTGCTGTATGCACGATAGTTTACAAAACCTATTCTTTCCCTGGGTTACTTGGAGTCACACTCTGAAGAATCCAATACATTTGACAGCAAAGTGACAGAGAGTGTGGGACTCTCAGGAAGAACACAGAAAGGGCAGATAATAAGAAAAATACGGTCCGGTCTGCAGCTTTTTTAATATTAATGGAAGAATCTTTTCTACTTCAACAGGCTCTTGACAGGGCCCAGAGTTCATGAGGAGGAAGTGCCTGTTCCAAGAACAGAAGCAGGAAGGATATAGATGCAAAGCTGAGAGTGGGAGGAGGCAGAAGGAATAGATAAGTGAGGATGCAGAGGAGCATAAGGAGTGGCAGGTGTGATCAGTTCCCTTTTTATCAGTAGGAATCAATATGAGAATACCAAACGTAATGTGAATTTTAATGTCTGTAAAAATAACGTCATCTTCTATGAACATTTTTCTGTAAAAATAGAATGTTTTAAATGCTGTAGGAAGATGAATAAGTACACTTTGGTCACTGGGATGAATCCGTTACTTTTCTTCCCTGTTTCTTTTTTTTTTTTTTTAAAGGTTATAGCTTATGGATCAGGAACAACTGAGAAAAGTAAAAAGAATTCAGATATCTGGATCTGGCAGCTGGTACGTGACAATTCACACTTGTTAACCAATGAGTTCATGTTTCAGTTCAGAGCAGACTGAACAGTAGCAAAGCCTTCTAGCAACAGAAATTAAAATGATTAGCTTCCTTCTCATAGAAAAGATCATCAACAGGCACCACCCTTCAGCTTTAAACTATGGTGAAAAATAACTGTAAACTACTGCCACCCTAAGACTAGTCTTATCTTGTATGTTGAGGACAGAGATACTGGCATGCTTTGTCAGGTCTTGGTGGGGATTTTAATATACCCTACCTAGGCTATAGCCTGTAAATACATCAGAATGCCTCTGAGTGATAAAAAAGTGTCACCTCTTACTTCTGCCTTGAAGCATTTGTCCTCATACTGAAGTCAAACTAGAATCAGGTAGCCTAAGCTAATAAAAATCTAACTGAGAACTTGTCTATACCAAAGCACAGCGGTAGGTGATCCAGATGCCCTCCATTCAACTGGCTTCTAGGAAACACTCGCAGCGCAAGGGAAAACGCAGAGAAAAGCTAGTTTTCATTTACACAAGTCGCCTAGCTTGGGAGGCAGATATTTCTACCAGTTTCTGTTCTGTTGAAATTCACAGCGACTATCAAATAGTAATTAAAGACATAATAATCTTGAAAGACATTTGTTTACACTGCAGCTTACAACAGCCTATGCAATCAAGCCCTTGCTTGCTGGCAAGAACCTGGCTCCTCTGCCTGACATGATAATGACGAGTCCATTCCAGTGTGGATGGACTCCTATTAGCGATTTCTGTCAGCTCCCTGCTGACTTGTGAACTGCTTTTCAAGACTTAAAAAGATACTAGAAATCAGAAAAGTAGAAGAGGAGCTTGAAGTACTGCAGGAGGTTATCTCTGTAATTTCCAGAGCTGTACCAACTTGGAGGCTGCTAGGTTAGATTGGTAGCAGTGTACCCCCAAGAGTCAGGCAATGGGTTGCTGCTTTATGATGGGGAACAATGAACCATGAAGCATGTTTTTATTGATGCTAATAGTGTCAGACAGGGAAGATCAGCTGAATACGTAGCTAGGTCTTATGAAACAGAGGAGGTTTGAAGTGCTCTTTCAGTGGGAAAGATTTCCATACTTATCTGCAGCATTTTCTTTCTGCTAGTGATAGGATGTGGAAAATTAAAAGCTGGTTATCTGTTCTTTCCCTTCAGGAGGGCACATCTACTGTTACCATGGATGGTAAAACCCTGACCCTATCTGCTGGCGACAGCCTGCTTGTCCGTGCCCAGTCTACGTGAGTAGAGATGAACAGTGGTTCAATGTGTGATTTCCCAGCTTCCAACAACATAAATTCTGTGTATTTGGTCCACACCAGGCTGGGCATCAGCTGGTGCAGAAACACAACGTCTGTGAATGCAGGATTTGCAATAGCCTCTGTTATTCCTCAGGGCAGAAGTGTCTTCAGGAGGAAACAAAGCCAGACATTCATTCTAGTTCACCTCTTACGATTAAAGGTGGGGAAAACAAAAAAGATAAGCACCACCGAGAAAAAGCAGCATGCAAAAGACCATGCATAAAACTAGGGGGCACGAATACCCCAATCGGCAATCACAGCAGATACTCTAAGCTTCAGACCAGGCTTAATCAACATCAATGCAGCAGATTTGGGGTTCAGACTAAGAACACAGCTCTCTTCCTGGAGTAGGATGCATATGGCTGTTTCGTAATCATGACCCATGTGATATATATAAAGGAAAAAACAGTGAAAATAGTTTCCAGAGAGAATGGAAAGGGAAAGTACTTGCCAACTCTTGTTGAAGAGTGCTATAAGCTGATAAAGTGCCCACCATGAAGATGATGAAGGATGATGTATACTCACGGGTAATGCAATGCAGCAAATTATAGGCACATGATAAAAATGGCCTTTTTTCCTACAGGAAAAATCTAATAAGTAGTAGTGCTGACATTTGCACCTTTTGTACAGCACTGAAAACATTTGCTGAAAGAGCTGAAACCATCCAGCTGTGCACAGAAGTGTTCTCTGCACCTGTGATTCCAACACAAAGCCACCTCCTCTCTTCACCATTACTTCCACCACTTCTGTGAAATCACTTGTCTTAAATTAATTCCCAGTCCTGCAGTCCAATCAATGAGCTTGTTTTCAAAATCATGGCATGATGCACGTGCAGAGATCTGCCAGCACAGTTCATACTGGATTAAGACATTTATCAGATCTGTACAGCAGGCACTTTTTATCATATGCGTCACTGTTGCACACTGCTTGATCTCTGGCCATCTACTTGGTGGATAAGGGAAGAGCAACTGACATCATCTACCTGGACTTGTGGAAAGCATATGACACAGTCCGCATGATGTCCTCGTCTCTAAATTGGAGAGATGGATTTGATGGATGGACCACTCAGTGGATAAGGAATTGGCTGGATGGTCGCACTCAAAGACTTGCGGTCAACGGCTCAATGTTCAAGTGAAGACCAGTGACGAGTGG